CGCTATATTCCCCTGGGATTATGTATCTACCCTGGGGATTGCTAAATCGCTATACTCCCCTGGGATTATGTATCTACCCTGGGGATTGCTAAATCGCTATACTCCCCTGGGATTATGTACCTACCCTGGGGGGTTGCTATATCGCTATATTCCCCTGGGATTATGTATCTACCCTGGGGATTGCTATATATCTATATACTCCCCTGGGATTATGTATCTACCCTGGTATTTGCTATATCGCTATACTCCCCTGGGATTATGTATCTACCCTGGGGATTACTATATATCTATATCCTCCCCTGGGATTATGTATCTACCCTGGGGATTGCTATATCGCTATACTCCTCTGGGATTATGTACCTACCCTGGGGATTGCTATATCTCTATACTCCCCTGGGATTATATACCTACCCTGGGGATTGCTATATCGCTATATTCCCCTGGGATTATGTACCTACCCTGGGGATTGCTATATCTCTATACTCCCCTGGGATTATATACATACCCTGGGGATTGCTATATCGCTATATTCCCCTGGGATTATGTACCTACCCTGGGGATTGCTATATCTCTATACTCCCCTGGGATTATATACCTACCCTGGGGATTGCTATATCGCTATATTCCCCTGGGATTATGTACCTACCCTGGGGATTGCTATATCGCTATACTCCCCTGGGATTATGTATCTACCCTGGGGATTGCTATATCTCTATACTCCCCTGGGATTATGTACCTACCCTGAGGATTGCTACATCGCTATATTCCCTTGGGATTATGTACCTACCCTGGGGATTGCTATATCGCTATACTCGCCTGGGATTATGTATCTACCCTGGGGATTGCTATATCTCTATACTCCCCTGGGATTATGTACCTACCCTGAGGATTGCTATATCGCTATATTCCCTTGGGATTATGTACCTACCCTGGGGATTGCTATATCGCTATACTCGCCTGGGATTATGTATCTACCCTGGGGATTGCTATATCGCTATACCCCCCCCCGGGATTATGTATCTACCCTGGGGATTGCTATATCGCTATACTCCCCCGGGGTTATGTACCTACCCTGGGGATTGCTATATCGCTATACTCCCCTGGGATTATAATAATTAGCTGTTCCTTCATGATTATCTAGATCACAATTATATATACGTATATCACGATTATTGCAAAGAGTGGTAAAAGCCTTAATATTGGAGAAACTCTCTATCAAGGATGCTTTAAGATATACCTGCAGGATTATTAGCAGTGCCCCTCACCGATAGCACCGTAATGAGACGCATTGACGTAATGGTGGTCAGTGTTGGAAATAAACAGATAGGCATTCTGTGGGCGGAGTCTGAACCGGCCTGACAGTAATGGAGAACAGGGCTTAGGGGCGGAGTCTCATCCAGGGGGCGGGGTCTCACACACCCTACTACGATGGACATGTAGACTGTGGAGGCTTTCTACTGTATATTTAATAATATAGCGATATTATGTGAGGTAATGTAATATAGTCATATTATGTGAGGTAATAATATAGTGATATTATGTGAGGCAATGTAATATAGCGATATTATGTGAGGTAATAATATAGTCATATTATGTGAGGTAATAATATAGTGATATTATGTGAGGCAATGTAATATAGCGATATTATGTGAGGTAATAATATAGTCATATTATGTGAGGTAATAATATAGTGATATTATGTGAGGCAATGTAATATAGCGATATTATGTGAGGTAATAATATAGTCATATTATGTGAGGTAATAATATAGTGATATTATGTGAGGCAATGTAATATAGCGATATTATGTGAGGTAATAATATAGTCATATTATGTGAGGTAATAATATAGTGATATTATGTGAGGCAATGTAATATAGCGATATTATGTGAGGTAATAATATAGTCATATTATGTGAGGTAATAATATAGTGATATTATGTGAGGCAATGTAATATAGCGATATTATGTGAGGTAATAATATAGCGATATTATGTGAGGTAATAATATAGCCATATTATGTGAGGTAATAATATAGCGATATTATGTGAGGCAATAATATAGCGATATTATGTGAGGTAATAATATAGCCATATTATGTGAGGCAATAATATAGCCATATTATGTGAGGCAATAATATAGCGATATTATGTGAGGCAATAATATAGCCATATTATGTGAGGCAATAATATAGCCATATTATGTGAGGCAATAATATAGCGATATTATGTGAGGCAATAATATAGTCATATTATGTGAGGCAATAATATAGCGATATTATGTGAGGTAATAATATAGCGATATTATGTGAGGCAATGTAATATAGCCATATTATGTGAGGTAATAATATAGCGATATTATGTGAGGTAATAATATAGCCATATTATGCAGGTACACATAGCGATATTATAAAGAGGCAATAATATAGCTTATATTATGTGAGGTAATAATATAGCTATATTATGAGGTAATAATATAGCGATATTATGTGAGGCAATAATATAGCGATATTATGTGAGGTAATAATATAGCCATATTATGTGAGGCAATAATATAGCGATATTATGTGAGGCAATAATATAGCGATATTATGTGAGGCAATAATATAGTCATATTATGTGAGGCAATAATATAATCATATTATGTGAGGCAATGTAATATAGCGATATTATGTGAGGCAATAATATAGCGATATTATGTGAGGTAATAATATAGCGATATTATGTGAGGTAATAATATAGCCATATTATGTGAGGCAATAATATAGCGATATTATGTGAGGCAATAATATAGCGATATTATGTGAGGCAATAATATAGCGATATGTGAGGTAATAATATAGCGATATTATGTGAGGCAATAATATAGCGATATTATGTGAGGCAATAATATAGCCATATTATGTGAGGCAATAATATAGCGATATGTGAGGTAATAATATAGCGATATTATGTGAGGCAATAATATAGCGATATTATGTGAGGCAATGTAATATAGCGATATTATGTGAGGCAATAATATAGCGATATTATGTGAGGCAATAATATAGCGATATGTGAGGTAATAATATAGCGATATTATGTGAGGCAATAATATAGCGATATTATGTGAGGCAATAATATAGCCATATTATGTGAGGCAATAATATAGCGATATGTGAGGTAATAATATAGCGATATTATGTGAGGCAATAATATAGCGATATTATGTGAGGCAATGTAATATAGCGATATTATGTGAGGCAATAATATAGCGATATTATGTGAGGCAATAATATAGCGATATGTGAGGTAATAATATAGCGATATTATGTGAGGTAATATATACCGATATTATGTGAGGTAATAATATAGCGATATTATGTGAGGTAATAATATAGCGATATGTGAGGTAATATAGTGATATTATGTGAGGCAATAATATAGCGTTATTATGTGAGGCAATAATATAGCGTTATTATGTGAGGTAATATAGCGATATTATGTGAGGTAATAATATAGCGATATTATGTGAGGTAATAATATAGCGATATTATGTGAGGTAATAATATAGCGATATTATGTGAGGTAATAATATAGCGATATTATGTGAGGTAATAATATAGCGATATGATGTGAGGTAATATAGCGATGTTATGTGAGGCAATAATATAGCGATATTATGTGAGGCAATAATATAGCGATATTATGTGAGGCAATAATATAGCGATATTATGTGAGGCAATAATATAGCGTTATGTGAGGTAATAATATAGCGATATTATGTGAGGTAATATAGCGATATGTGAGGTAATAATATAGTGATATGTGAGGTAATAATATAGTGATATTATGTGAGGTAATATTATGTGAGGTAATAATATAGCGATATTATGTGAGGCAATAATATAGTGATATTATGTGAGGTAATAATATAGCGGTATTATGTGAGGTAATAATATAGTGATATTATGTGAGGTAATATAGTGATATTATGTGAGGTTATGTAGTTACATTATGTGAGTTAATAATATAGTGATAGTATGTGAGTTAATAATATAGTGATAGTATGTGAGGCCATATAGTGATATTATGTGAGGTAACAATATAGCGATATTATGTGAGGTAATAATATAGCGATATTATGTGAGGTAATATATACCGATATTATGTGAGGTAATAATATAGCGATATTATGTGAGGTAATAATATAGCGATATTATGTGAGGTAATAATATAGCGATATTATGTGAGGTAATAATATAGCGATATTATGTGAGGTAATAATATAGCGATATTATGTGAGGTAATAATATAGGGATATTATGTGAGGTAATAATATAGGGATATTATGTGAGGTAATAATATAGGGATATTATGTGAGGTAACATAGCGGTATTATGTGAGGTAACATAACGGTATTATGTGAGCTAATAATATAGCGATATTATGTAAGGTAATATAGTGATATTATGTGAGGTGATGATATAGTGATATTATGTAAGGTAATAATATAGTGATATTATGTGAGACAATAATATCACTATATTACTACCTCACATAACATCACTATATTACTACCTCACATAATATCACTATATTATGATAGGTAATAATAAAGTGATGTTATGTGAGGTAATAATAAAGTGATGTTATGTGAGGTAATAATAAAGTGATATTATGTGAGGTAATAATAAAGTGATATTATGTGAGGTAATAATATAGTGATATTATGTGAGGTGATGATATAGTGATATTATGTGAGGTGATGATATAGTGATATTATGTGAAGTGATGATATACTGATATTATCTGAGGTGATGATAGTGATATTTTGTGAGGTTATGATATAGCATTATTATGTGAGGTGATAATATAGCGATATTATGTGAGGTGATAATATAGTGATATTATGTGAGGTAATAATATAGTGATATTATGTGAGGTAATAATATAGTGATATTATGTGAGGTAATAATATAGTGATATTATGTGAGGCAATAATATAGTGATATTATGTGTGGTTATGTAGTTACATTATGTGAGGTAATAATATAGTGATATGTGATGTAATAGTGATATTATGTGAAGTAATAATATAGTGATATTATGTGAAGTAATATATAGTGATATTATGTGAGGCAATAATATAGCGATATTATGTGAGGCAATGTAATATAGCAATATTATGTGAGGCAATGTAATATAGCGATATTATGTGAGGTAATGTAATATAGCGATATTATGTTAGGCAATGTAATATAGCGATATTATGTGAGGTAATAATATAGCGATATTATGTGAGGTAATAATATAGCTATATTATGTGAGGCAATAATATAGCGATATTATGTGAGGTAATATATACCGATATTATGTGAGGTAATAATATAGCGATATTATGTGAGTCAATAATATAGCGATATTATGTGAGGTAATAATATAGCGATATTATGTGAGGTAATATATACCGATATTATGTGAGGTAATAATATAGCGATATTATGTGAGGTAATAATATAGCGATATTATGTGAGGTAATATAGTGATATTATGTGACGCAATAATATAGCGATATTATGTGAGATAATAATATAGCGTTATTATGTGAGGCAATAATATAGCGTTATTATGTGAGGCAATAATATAGCGTTATTATGTGAGGCAATAATATAGCGTTATTATGTGAGGTAATAATATAGGGATATTATGTGAGGTAATAATATAGGGATATTATGTGAGGTAATAATATAGCGATATTATGTGAGGTAATAATATAGGGATATTATGTGAGGTAATAATATAGGGATATTATGTGAGGTAATAATAAAGTGATATAATGTGAGGTAATATAGCGATATTATGTGAGGTAACATAGCGGTATTATGTGAGCTAATAATATAGCGATATGTGAGGTAATATAGTGATATGTGAGGTAGTGATATTTTGTGGGGTGATGATATAGTGATATTATGTGAGGTGATGATATAGTGATATTATGTGAGGTGATGATATAGTGATATTATGTAAGGTAATAATATAGTGATATTATGTGAGACAATAATATCACTATATTACTACCTCACATAACATCACTATATTACTACCTCACATAATATCACTATATTATATGTGAGGAAATAATATAGTGATGTTATGTGAGGTTATAATAAAGTGATGTTATGTGAGGTAATAATAAAGTGATATTATGTGAGGTAATAATATAGTGATATTATGTGAGGTGATGATATAGTGATATTATGTGAGGTGATGATATACTGATATTATGTGAGGTGATGATAGTGATATTTTGTGAGGTGATGATAGTGATATTTCGTGAGGTGATGATATAGAGATATTATGTGAGGTAATAATATAGAGATATTATGTGAGACAATATAGTGATATTATGTGAGGTAACAATATAGCTATATTATGTGAGGTAATAATATAGCGGTATAATGTGAGGTAATAATATAGTGATATTATGTGAGGTAATATAGTGATATTATGTGAGGCAATAATATAGTGATATTATGTGAGGTAATGTAGTTACATTATTTGAGTTAATAATATAGTGATAGTATGTGAGGTAATAATATAGTGATAGTATGTGAGGCCATATAGTGATATTATGTGAGGTAACAATATAGTGATATTATGTAAGGTAATAATATAGCGATATTATGTGAGGTAATAATATAGCGATATTATGTGAGGTAATAATATAGCGATATTATGTGAGGTAATAATATAGCGATATTATGTGAGGTAATAATATAGCGATATTATGTGAGGTAATAATATAGGGATATTATGTGAGGTAATAATATAGGGATATTATGTGAGGTAATAATATAGGGATATTATGTGAGGTAATAATATAGTGATATTATGTGAGGTAATAATATAGTGATATAATGTGAGGTAATATAGCGATATTATGTGAGGTAACATAGCGGTATTATGTGAGCTAATAATATAGCGATATGTGAGGTAATATAGTGATATGTGAGGTAGTGATATTTTGTGAGGTGATGATATAGTGATATTATGTGAGGTGATGATATAGTGATATTATGTAAGGTAATAATATAGTGATATTATGTGAGACAATAATATCACTATATTACTACCTCACATAACATCACTATATTACTACCTCACATAATATCACTATATTATATGTGAGGTAATAATATAGTGATGTTATGTGAGGTAATAATAAAGTGATGTTATGTGAGGTAATAACAAAGTGATATTATGTGAGGTAATAATATAGTGATATTAGGTGAGGTGATGATATAGTGATATTAGGTGAGGTGATGATATAGTGATATTATGTGAAGTGATGATATACTGATATTATGTGAGGTGATGATAGTGATATTTCGTGAGGTGATGATATAGAGATATTATGTGAGGTAATAATATAGTGGTATTGTGTGAGGTAATATAGTGATATTGTGTGAGTTAATAATATAGTGATAGTATGTGAGGCCATATAGTGATATTATGCGGTAATAATATAGTGATATTATGTGAGGTAATAATATAGCGATATGTGAGGTAATAATATAGTGATATTATGTGAGACAATATAGTGATATTATATGAGATAATATAGTGGTATTATGTGAGGCAATAATATAGTGATATTATGTGAGGTCATGTAGTTACATTATGTGAGTTAATGATATAGTGATGTTATGTGAGGTAATAATAAAGTGATGTTATGTGAGGTAATAATAAAGTGATGTTATGTGAGGTAATAATAAAGTGATATTATGTGAGGTAATAATATAGTGATATTATGTGAGGTGATGATATAGTGATATTATGTGAGGTGATGATATAGTGATATTATGTGAAGTTATCAAATACTGATATGTGAGGTGATGATAGTGATATTTTGTGAGGTGATGATATAGAGATATTATGTGAGGTAATAATATAGTGATATTATGTGAGATACTAATATAGTGATATTATGTGAGATAATAATATAGTGATATTATGTGAGGTAATAAAATAGTGATATTATGTGAGGTAATAATATAGTGATATTATGTGTGGTTATGTAGTTACATTATGTGAGGTAATAATATAGTGATATGTGATGTAATAGTGATATTATGTGAAGTAATAATATAGTGATATTATGTGAAGTAATAATATAGTGATATTATGTGAGGTAATAATATCGTGATATTATGTGAGGTAATAATATCGTGATATTATGTGAGGTAATAATATCGTGATATTATGTGAGGTAATAATATCGTGATATTATGTGAGGTAATAATATCGTGATATTATGTGAGGTAATAATATCGTGATATTATGTGAGGTAATAATATCGTGATATTATGTGAGGTAATAATATCGTGATATTATGTGAGGTAATAATATCGTGATATTATGTGAGGTAATAATATCGTGATATTATGTGAGGTAATAATATCGTGATATTATGTGAGGTAATAATATCGTGATATTATGTGAGGTGATAATATCGTGATATTATGTGAGTGAGGTGATAATATCGTGATATTATGTGAGGTGATAATATCGTGATATTATGTGAGGTGATAATATCGTGATATTATGTGAGGTGATAATATCGTGATATTATGTGAGGTAATAATATCGTGATATTATGTGAGGTAATAATATCGTGATATTATGTGAGGTAATAATATAGTGGTATTGTGTGAGGTAATATAGTGATATTGTGTGAGTTAATAATATAGTGATATTATGAGGTAATAATATAGTGATATTATGTGAGGTAATAATATAGTGATATTATGTGAGGTAATAATATAGTGATATTATGTGAGGTAATAATATAGTGATATTATGTGAGACAATATAGTGATATTATATGAGATAATATAGTGATATTATGTGAGGTAATAAAATAGTGATATGTGATGTAATAGTGATATTATGTGAAGTAATAATATAGTGATATTATGTGAGGTAATAATATCGTGATATTATGTGAGGTAATAATATCGTGATATTATGTGAGGTGATAATATCGTGATATTATGTGAGGTGATAATATCGTGATATTATGTGAGGTGATAATATCGTGATATTATGTGAGGTGATAATATCGTGATATTATGTGAGGTGATAATATCGTGATATTATGTGAGGTGATAATATCGTGATATTATGTGAGGTGATAATATCGTGATATTATGTGAGTTGATAATATCGTGATATTATGTGAGGTGATAATATCGTGATATTATGTGAGGTGATAATATCGTGATATTATGTAAGGTGATAATATCGTGATATTATGTGAGGTGATAATATCGTGATATTATGTGAGGTGATAATATTGTGATATTATGTGAGGTGATAATATAGTGGTATTGTGTGAGGTAATATAGTGATATTGTGTGAGTTAATAATATAGTGATAGTATGTGAGGCCATATAGTGATATTATGCGGTAATAATATAGTGATATTATGTGAGGTAATAATATAGCGATATGTGAGGTAATAATATAGTGATATTATGTGAGACAATATAGTGATATTATATGAGATAATATAGTGATATTATGTGAGGTAATAATATAGTGATGTTATGTGAGGTAATAATATAGTGATATTATGTGAGGTAATAATGTAGGGATTATGTGAGGTAATAATGTAGTGATATTATGTGAGGTAATAATATAGTCATATTATGTGAGGTAATAATATAGTGATATTATGTGAGGTAATAATATAGTGATAGTATGTGAGGTAATAATGTAGTGATATTATGTGAGGTAATATTATAGTGATATGTGAGGAAATAATATAGCGATATTATGTGAGGTAATAATATAGTGATATTATGTGAGGTAATAAAATAGTGATGTGATGTAATAGTGATATTATGTGAAGTAATAATATAGTGATATTATGTGAGGTAATAATATAGTGATATTATCTGAGTTAGTAATATAGTGATATTATGTGAGGCAATAATATAGTGATATTATGTGAGGCAATAATATAGTGATATTATGTGAGGTAATAATATAGTGATATTATGATGTAATAATATAGTGATATTATGATGTAATAATATAGTGATATTATGTGAGGCAATAATATAGTGACATTATGTGAGGCAATAATATAGTGATATTATGTGAGGCAATAATATAGTGATATTATGTGAGGCAATAATATAGTGATATTATGTGAGGCAATAATATAGTGATATTATGTGAGGTAATAATATAGTGATATTATGTGAGACAATATAGTGATATAATGTGAGGTCATAATATAGTGATATTATGTGAGGTCATAATATAGTGATATTATGTGAGGTCATAATATAGTGATATTATGTGAGGTAATAATATAGTGATATTATGTGAGGTAATAATGTAGTGATATTATGTGAGATAATAATGTAGTGATATTATGTGAGGTAATAATATAGTGATATTATGTGAGACAATATAGTGATATTATGTGAGGTAATAATATAGTGATATTATGTGAGGTAATAATATAGTGATATTATGTGAGACAATATAGTGATATTTTGTGAGGTAATAATATAGTGATATGTGAGATAATATAATGATATTAAGTGAGTTAATAATATAGTGATATTATGTGAGGTAATACAGTGATATTATGTGAGGTAATATAGTGATATGTGAGGTAATATAGTGATACTATGTGAGGTAATACAGTGATATTATCTGAGGTAATATAGTGATATTATGTGAGGTAATAAAATAGTGATATGTGATGTAATAGTGATATTATGTGAAGTAATAATATAGTGATATTATGTGAGGTAATAATATAGTGATATTAGGTGAGGTAATAATATAGTGATATTATGTAAGGTAATAATATAGGGATATTATGTGAGGTAATAATATAGGGATATTATGTGAGGTAATAATATAGGGATATTATGTGAGGTAATAATATAGTGATATTATGTGAGGTAATAATATCGTGATATTATGTGAGGATACTAATATCGTGATATTATGAGGGGTAATATAGTGATATTATGTGAGGTAATAATATAGTGGTATTATGTGAGGTAATAATATAGTGATAGTATGTGAGGTAATATAGTGATATTATGTGAGACAATATAGTGATATTATGTGACGC